TACAAGGGAATGTTAAAAGTGAAGTTTCTTTTCTTGAAGAGAAGAGGGGAAAGTCACCCAAAGAAAATAATTTTAAGGTTTGCATTCTTGGACTGTGTAGATAGCCGCTCCGGGTGGGACGGTTATGGGAAGGCGATGATATGAAATCTGTGTAGAGTAAAATGATTGTCTTATCTCTGAAGCTCACAAGTGCAAGAATCCCTCACCCAGTCAGGTCTCCTGTCAATTATTTATTGTAGGAAATAGCTTTCCATTTCCTCTCCATCAAAAGAACTCTGAGATGTGAATATGTAAGTGAGGACAGGGAGAAGGAACAATGCATTTCATTTCAAAAGACTTTACAGCAATATGTCGCTCTGCTGTAATTTCCAAGGCACAATCTGACCAATGTCATCGGGGCCGTTACTCCTCCTCAAGGCATAAATTCCACTAATTAGAGATCAATGACTCACGCTTGATGTAATTAGGCCGGATGGGACGCCCCCACAATAACTGTATTACGTGCATTCACCCCTTTTTTCCCCTCTCCCATCAGTCCTATTGTGGATAACATAAAACATGAAAACGATTTCAGTGCCCACACATTGGTCAGGAGAGCGGCGGCCGCGGCAGCACTTTGACAGGCGGGTTATGGTTTCTGGGTTCCCGTAATGAAGGACTACTGAGTGTGTCATCTAGGAAAAGAGCCTCTCCCCGTCTGTCTGTCAGCCAGCTGGATTCAGTCGTACACCTCAGAATAACACCAGGCCTCAAACGCTGTCGCACGGCCTCTCTTTGCTTTAATAGTCAAGAAACAGCTCATTAAATGACAACAGCGGCTAACCCTTTCCATCACAGAATTGGTCAACTCGCATTAGTCGGGCAACAGCTAAATTGTTTCTTTTCATCTCTTTTTTTTCCAGCTTACACATCATTCTGCTCGTTTTTTTGCACTGCCAGCAAACCACAACGGTTGAAATAGGAGAAACAGAGTAGCCCTGCACAAAGTCATTCAACAGTGGCTCAATTTCCAAGAGTCAGAGAGCTCGGTCCACCCTGCAAAACTGTCTGTGATGTACAGAACAAGAGAGGGGATTAACCAAATTGTCAAGGGAGACAGGTTAAGCTGGTTTATACTGAAGGCTCTCACTTTCAAAGTCAAAAAGTCAGAAACTTCTCAAAGCAAAGTCTTCTGTCATAATTTGTTATGTAATGTTCAGGGGAAATTCAATTCCTACAGACGTTCATATGACTTTCAGACAAGAGGCATGGTCATAAAAACTTTTCAGCTTCTGGAAATAAAGTATTAGTTTTCAAATAAACATATGGAGTAAATTATAATTAAAATGCACCAAGGACCTTGAAACCCTCAGAAAACAACTCTGCAGTTAATGTGGAATTATCTCATTTTGACAAATTCGGCTGATGATCATATATCCTGTCAAACTGGAAAAAAAGAAAAGAAATTAGCAATAAGGATTGTGTAAAGCCTTAAGGAATGTTTCCGACTCACAACTGTGAGCCAGCCTCGGTATACAGAGATCTGCTTGGAGTGAAATTCCAAATGCCTCATGCGGTCTGATTTCCCTGCGCTATACAACCAGACTGGGCTTCATTAGCAGTTGCTGCTGTTCTTTATTGGCACGGAAGATCCCATTTTCACTACAGCAATGACTTACCACCAGCTACAAATTGACAATGCGCCATATTTCCTCGCGAGTCAACTCTTATTAATAGTGATTCCCGTGATGTGCGCCTCCCCGTATCCAAACCCAGCAGTGTCATCAGCAGGTACAGTCTGAACAGTGGGATGTGAGGACCTCACAGGCACTGTTTGCCAAAAGTGGAAAGGACTAAATATAAGAGGAGCGACATCGCCAGCTGCTTACATCTGGTCAGTAAAGTCTGCAAAGCATCCTCTCCTCTGGCATCTCAAGGACACAAGCATGCACGTCGAATTCATATTGAAGTTTTAAAACTCTTAACAAGGATGGTTATTGCTCTCCGTCAGCAGGCTAATTCTCCAGCACAATAGCCTTACACGGCATTGATGATTACTCCTTTCCAGAATATCAGGCTGCTCGCTGACTGATGGCGGCTGCAGCAAAAGGTTAATTAATGAGCGGTGGCAGGAGCGACGGCTGCCGGCGAGGGAGACGCTCTCCTGGGACTTGCACTCACCCCCAGTGGTGAAAGATAAAGGTGGAACAGCGAAAGGGTATGACTACTCGGTTGAAATTGAGTCGGCTATTCTCTCTGGATAGCCTCCATGTGCTTAATAGTGGGAGAGAGCCACTTGATCACTCACCCAAACTGCAGCATGGAATTAGATTAGAATGCAGCTTTTCATCATTTCCCATATGAAACCCTATTTCATGCAATGATTATGTATCGGTTATCAAACATCAGCGGTAATCTACGAGAAAACCTTCGAGCTGAAATTAGTTCCGCAAAATCTGCTTTTTGTGATCAGACATCAAAAGGTTTACATAAAGCGTATTTGTCTTCCTGTGCTGCAGCAGTCTTATTTCCAGATGGGAAATAAACACGCTGACATATAGTTGTATTTTTAGCCCGTTTCTAAGACGCCATTAAATTTCATTGGCAGAGATTACAGACTTACGTGTGTGAATTAACCTGATTAGCTTCTTATGGAAGATGAATGTGCTGCGGCATCCTGGTAAAGAGTCCAATGATAAAGTGATCTGTGTCCCATCAGAAATACTTTCTCATTAGGCAACCTTTGTGAAAGGTTCAAAATAACAGCTTAATTAATAGTTAATAAATCATTTACTAATTATTTATAGCTCAGTTAAAATAAGAGCGACTTTGGGGGTTGCCAGGTTATGAAAAACCACTCGAATCAAGTAATTAATAATTCATGATGTTTTCTTACTTATGTATAGAAGAGATAAACAGATTTCACAAATATGAATAATAACATATTAAGTCTTAGAATATGATTTATTAACTATTAATGAAGTCATTAGTTAGCTGACTTAGTGGAAAGTGGTAGCATGAAATATCAATCCAGTGCCTTTATAAAGTTGTAAACAATAGCTTCATTAATGGTTAATAAACCATTTACTAATTAGTTATAGATCAGGTATAAGCCATTATTGAGAGCATCATGGGTGCTGTTGCTGGTTGTAAATATCTCTCTGGCTTGTGTTTATCCTCCCGCACTTGCTCTGTCATTTTAGCTGCAGGGCATGTGGACCACAATCAATTGATGAACTATCTATTAGCATTGTAAGCAATCACGTCTGCAGTTATACATGCTAATAAAGTCATTAACAAAGGGTTGTGAGTCACAGCTAAAGTCAGTAATCTATCAATTAGATGCTCATTTACAAATGTAATGTTAATAGGGTATTGACTTGTAAATGTTTTTACAATAATCCATCAAGTCTCCAGCTGTTAATAAATAGTTAATAAAAGGACTGTGATGCAGATACCCTGCAGAGTTCTGCAGTTATGTGGAGGATGTTTTCAAAACAAGTATTATCTGCAAATTGTTCAAAAAGTACAACAAACAAGACTGTTCATGGCCCCTGTGAGATATATTATTGTATATTAAATTATTAGATACTGAAATGCAGCAGAGTACAAAGATACTATGACCTCCTGAAACGTAGTGACCCAGAGGTATAAAGTACAGTGCTAGTGAATGTACTTAGTTATTTTCCACCACTGCCTACTGGATGGCCATAAGGATTTTCCCAACATGGCAACCCTAAAGCATCAGTAACTTATGAATTGACCATTAATAAAACCATTAAGTTATTTTATGAGAAAGTGGCTGATAAAATCCAACAAAAGCTGTCAAAATAAGATGCGTGATTCCACAGAACTCAAGTTATTGGCTACCCGTGGTGTAATGTCACTAAGTACATTTACTCAAGTACGATACTGGAGAGCAATTTGGAGGCACCCCTCTATTTTATGTTACTTTATAATTTCACACCACAACATTTTTGAAGCCAATATTGTTTACTTTTTATTCCATTGTATTCCATTGCCAGCTGTAGTTTATGCAGATTCAGATTATAAATAAAGAATAAAACCTGGCAGTATTTAAAGTGGATGAAATTAGCTTCACCTGTACCACATTCAACAGTAAAGTAGTGGACACTTAATGCACCAATAATCATAATCAAGTGGCAAAATATATATCATTCTGACATGGGCCATATTGCATATTGAATACTTTAAGTTTTGGTACTTTCATTATATTTTAGGTAAGATTTTGAATGCAGGACCTTTACAGCGCGAGTAACAAAGAGTATTTCTACATTGCAGTATCAGTAAAGTATCTGAGTACTTCCTCCACCACTACCTTGACACATTCTATAGAATCAGAATGATTAGAAGCTCAAGATGAGTATTGGTAATGAGATTATTTATGCACCTATATATTACCTGGATTCAGAAGGAATCCAAATAGGCTACTTAACTGACGAGTGCAAGTCAGGAAGTGTAGTTCCCTCCCTTACAAACCACTTGCCTGAGGTTTTGTTCAGTGATGTAAGGATTCGGCACAGAGGACCCTGCCAAGCATTAGAGTGTTACAGGAAGAACCAAGAACAAATGAGTAATGAAATGACTCCCTCATTGGGACCAGTCTGAGACTTTTTTTTGTTCTTTGAAGCCCGTTCAGGTCCCTTCTCAGTCAGAGCGTGACGAAAGAATTGCCTGACTTGTTTTTAATTGTTGGCTCCTCCTTGTCATGCATGTCACTCATACAAGCAATTAGGCTTCTGTCATCCATGTCTGATAAAATTAGAGATTTTGAATAATTGTAGCAGCACAGAGACGTCTACATAAGTTTGGGTTAGCAGTAACTATTGTGAACGGGACTATGAAAATGCGTGCCGTCTCTTTTGTAGTGATAGATAATTGTAGTTTAACATGTGCAGTCTATCTGCTGCAAATGAGGACTTATCTTATACAATCAGATGGTACATTCCTTTATCACAGAGCAAGACAATTCACTAATAACTCACTGCATCCAAACAAAAGACGATATATTTATGAATTTATTATATTCTTTACAGTATTTCCACCGCTTTCTCCAGAGCCCACAGAAAACCTTTAATAAAGAAAATGATTGTAATTCAAGGCCACAGAAGCAAGGAGCCATATCCCCACGAGCAAATACAAAACAGAGTTGGTAACAGGATTGCAACACCAAAGTGAAAGCATGTCTGCCAAGTCTACACATTCAAAGATCACAAACATCAAACAGGTTTTTCCAGGCAGTCAAGGGTTTCAGTGTCTGTAGAAAGGAAAACAAACAGGACTGTCTCCAGCTGAGGAAAGTTTCTAAATGGGCACAGTATGATTTCTTTCTTCTTTTTTTTTGTGTACAGATGCGTGGGGACGATCTATAATTGAGTGAACCATCTGCATGTTACATGTGATCCATTTTACAGTACATACATGTTTAAGCAGGACAGCATCAAAGGTTACTGTGGAGCCCAGGCCAAAGAGCACAACATCACAATGGTCTCTGAGTTTGTTTGTTTTTTCCTTTAGCGATACTTAATAATCATCCCCTGCTCAGTCCTTGTTAAGTCCACTGCTCGCTGAACTCTCTCAAGACAAAGGCCCAAAAAAAAATCATTGGATATCTGCTTGACCATGGCAGGAAATCGAAAATTGTTTGCATATCCTTCAGGCTTTTATCATGAAAACAGCACAACAATAAAACACAGGGTAAGCCTCAGTTATGGCATCTTGCAGATTAATATGAGTAGCTGTGGGGGATGCTTTGGAAATTACTTTGACTAGAAATGTGTCAAGGATGACAGGTTTTTCTTTTTTTTTCCAGTTTGATTCCTATTAAGCACTTTCCTCTGATCTAATTCAATAAATGCCAAAGGGAGTTATAATAATCATATTCAGTCCAGATCCTTTGGGATACGTGTCTTTGGAACCCATAAATACTTCTAACTTTCTTTCTTCTACACGTAATATCTTCAGAGGTTCACATATCTTCAGAGGTTTTATATTTCCAAGCTAATCGAGTACATAAAGTAGAGTTAGCTTTGGAAAATGCACTGAATCCCGCATACAATCAAAGGAGTCCCTGCGAAAGTGCTAAGCCACCAAGCCACCGAGGCATATTTGAGCTTCAAATAAAATCCCTCCACTGATGTAATGACAATACAATCCGTATCATTCACACGTCTAGATTAGAGCAATAAAGCAACACTTTCTTTTTCTCTGCTTTGCCAACGACATTTGCAGCATTTTGTAGTTTTAAAGGGAAACAACACGAGAAGTTCAGATATTGAATTCATGACAGCCAAATTGGTCTTTGAAAATTCTCTCCCAGAGCAACAAATTAGAAGACTGTCAATAAGTACGAGTCTTACTCCTTAATGAGCTTCATAATGAATCTGTTTCAAACCAGTAAATATCTCTTGATCCCCTCCCTGCCCGCCCCCCCAAAAAAGCTAATGAGCCAGTTATAACAGATATAGATTTTGCACAAACATCTCTGGCATCACAGATTAGGGATCGGCAAAACTCTCATTTCTCATCTCTTACTAAGACAAACAGCAAATAATCTTCACTGTGAAAGTGAGCTGTTGTAGGATGCCGCAATAACAAAATGTATATGCACAAATTTAATTAAACCTGACACGTAAGACAGCAAAGGTCTAAAGTCTCACTCAATAAAAAAGAAAAGTGTTACCAGTGAGTGTGAAGGGCTGCTGAGAGGAAAAGAATAACATGAGCTCCCTTTCACCTATTTTAATGTAAAATATTCCTCCCTCACAAACATCTGTTGTTGTAGTCTGTACAACACCCAAACAAACACAACAAACAGGAAAAAGATGGAAATGCTACTCAGTTTCTCCTCAACTTGTAACATATTTTTTTAAATGTAAGGTCAGTGCAAAAAAAAAAAAAAAAAAACCTTTACAGAACTCGATGGCAGCTCAATATCAGCTGACCAGCAGCAGCAGCAAGTTAACTGGTGTAGCCCAGCCTCCTCATCACACTCCCACACACGTCTTCTATTAGTCTGATGTCCTTTCGCGGCATATTTTGTCTCCACGTGTTAATGTTGGCTGGTGAAATGTCTCCTTCGTACATCAGATTGTACAGGTTCGTGGAGGTGGTGAATAGAAGTTGGTTGAGGGCTGCGGGCGAGACAGGCACCCCCAGAAACGTGTGTATGCTCTCCGCCGTCTCCTGCGGGAAGTTGACCACGTCCTCAAACCTCACTTGGAGGTAGGACTCCTCGGGGAGGCTCTCGCTGACTCGGAGTGCTGCCGCGGTGTGAGCCAGCCACAGATGAGCCAGTATGAGGATGGGGTCAGTCTCAGAACGGGACAGCAGCCTCTGGATTATTTTAAACTCCGGCGCCGTTGTCGGGCACCCGTCACCGGCAGCGTCCTCCTTGAATATCAAGGAAAGGTGCTGCGGGATGTTTTTAAGGGTGTAAAGGCTGGGTTTGCTGTTATAAACCATGAGATAAATCCACGCCCGAGGGTCTCTCACCAGGTAGATTGTCCTCAGGGAAGAGCCCACGACCTCCTGAATGAAAGGCAGCTTGAGCACCCAGCTTCCACTCCGCATGTTGAGGACCACCCGGGCATTGGGGTACTCCGCAACATGCCGTCTCATCTCCCTCACATACTCCGCATCTCTGTCCAGGCTCGCTCTCAGTTTGCCCTTCAGCTCAGACTCCGGCTCTCTCCTCCTGGATCTTTTCTTCCTGTCCCTGGAGGGGCTGACTCTCTGGGCCTGCCTGACCCTGCTGCCCTCTACCAGCTGAATATTCTGCAAGTGCAGCTTGGTGTTGTGGACCAGTGAATGCAACCAGCCCTGAATAATCTTAAACCGTCCCTGCACGGCGTCTGACCTTGACCACTCACAGGCGTCGACCAGGGAGTCGAACTCAAACTCTGTCTCAGGAATGTCCATGTGCTCGGTGGGAACTCGTACGTAAACAAAGTCCGAGCTGTTGTAGAAGAGGTGCTTGAGCATTTCCGATCCCGATCCGGGAAGGGTTGTTATGATGACGGTGGGCAGGGGGAGCCGGTTCTGCTCGTACAGTCTGATTTGTTTGTTTACTTCGCTTTTGGCACCCGCAACTTTCCATTTCACCCCACAGAGGAGCTGATCGCAGCTGTTAGACACAAACAGCAGCTCGGCTATCCACAGAATGAGCACAGAGAGGAGGGTGTAACGCATCAGCCTGCTGAAGCAGACATAAAACTTTCTCTGTATGGTCAGCAATGCTATGGCCACGCAGAGGACAACCCCTGCTATCACATTGACTGTGAAGCCAAAGTCAAACAGCTGATTATTACTGCTGATTGGTTTGGGGATGAGTTGAGTCCCAAGGCCATATCGAGTGATTTGATATCTATCCTCAACTTTACAGTGACCTCCAAATCCTAAATAAGTCAACCTGGCTCCGATGTCTTTGTAGTTTGTCGCAATGGAGACTATCTTCTCTGTGTTATTTATGGTTAAAGAAAGTCTCACTCCGTTTTTGCTATCATCCACAAATCTACAGCTGGACACTTTGACATATGGGCCGTGTAACACGTAAGCTACTCTGCTGACTGTGCCCGTCACTGGAAAAGTGACATTGACATACTGAGTCCACCTCTTTTTAAACTCCGCCGCCTGCTCTGCCTCCTGTATCCTGGTATCAGGGCTGTGACCCTGGCTGTCGAACCAGAACATTTTATAATGAGCGTCCCACACATCCATCATGGCGCCATTATATCTGTCCATGAATCTGAAAGGGACATATTTAAAGTCAATGTCAAGATTGTGGAAAAAAGCACTGAGGGACGTCACAGGTGAATCACTCCACCTCTCTACGTGGTCGAACACCAGCAGGGTCTGTGAGTTCAGCAGGACTAAAGCTCTGTACACACTCTTTAGTCTCATAGCGGGGGAGTAAGCCGACGCCGCCTCCCCGCTCACAAACATGGTGTCCCCGTGTGAGGAGGCGACAATCACCTCCCCTCTGGAGTCACCCACCCCCTCATCGGTCCAGCGCAGCCACTTAGCGCACTCCCCCAACTGACCCTCCCACGGCGTGTTACACTGGCTGGTGGGAGACGGACTGAACACCAAGACGTTGTTAAGGTAGCTGTACTTTGGACCATAAAGTGCTTCCGACACAAATACCTGTCCGTTAGGGGCAAAGGTGAAAGAGTTCTGATCGGGGTGCTCGTGACCTGGGTTAAAGCTGTTCCAGCCATCCACCCAGGAGTAAGGCTTGTCGTGGACGATGTCATAGACGGCACGGCCACCCAGCTTGCCAGACTTAAAGGAGACAAAAGTATTACCCTGGGCGTTCGGTAGGCCTGCTCCGTATGTAACCACACCCCAGTTTGAGAAAATATGCATCCTAGCTTTCCCAAAGTCGTGGGGAGGCTGCGGCGCGAGGTGGGAGTTGTACCAGATGTATTCTGTGTGAAGAGTAGCCCAGCGATGGGCAGACGAAAACCCCATGGGACCATCCTTGGGCCGGTGCTTTCTAATCTGCTGAGCCAGCCAGTTGCCCGTGCCGTTCCTCATGACGAATGTGTCGAGGAAAACAAGCTGGCTCTCCGGTCCATAAAACCAGTTGTAGTTGGAGTCGGCGATGCCAACTGTTCTCTGAAAGCCCGGCAACAGAGTGGCGTAGTAAAACCAGAAGTGTCCCCGCAGCCAGTTGCTCTGCAGGTTGTCGATGTTGAAGTGGCGCTGAGCTAAGAAGACATACTGTGTGATGGACTTGGCTGTGTAGCTCCCATAGGCTACTCCCTCATCCAGAGACCCATCGACAACATGGTTTAGGAGGAACATAGTTTTCTCCATGTAGTTCACTGCCACTTGTTTCCAGATCATTGACTCCCGGTCGTCATGTGATCCGACCACAATTGCACCGATCAGGACGGCTAATATGTTGGTGGTTTGATGATTTTGGAGGTACTGTTTCCCCCACCCCCTGTGCTTTGAGATGTCAAACAGCTCCTCCGTCTCAGAGCGAATTTTCTTGAGGTAAACATCCCTCCGCCGCTCATCCAGGTAGGAGTAAATAAAGTCATAAGCTGTAGCAAACCCAGTGAGAGAGTGCGCAGTGGGGACCTCGTCGGTAGGAGCACTGGTCACCTTCCAGTCGGGGTATTCAGCCATCCTATCCATAAATTTGATAAGAAACTGCAGGGCAGCAGAGTCCTCTGGGCACAACAGGCAGTACAGAGCCAGGGGAGGCAGGTTGTTGCCATAAATCTCATTCCACTTGCTTGTAAACTCTGCATGTTTCACAGGCGGCATGTAAATGGGAACATTTGCCAACATGGTGAGCGCAGCAGCCCGGATGACTTTAAATATGTGACTGTGGGTGGTGGAGGACCTTTGCCTCAAGTGCAACACATCTACTTGGTTAAAATATAGGTTGGGATGGGAATCAGAGGACCGGAGTTTCCACTGCTCAGTCGCTCTGGCTTGTGTGAGCTTGACCTGCAGCAAGTCATCTGTGAAAATGTCTCTGTCCGTGGCGTTGAAGACCCCGGAGAAAGCTGTCCCCACTGCGAACAGTGGTAGCAAAAAAACAGAATATAAAACCCAGTTAACTGCCATGTTGCCGGGCATTTGTGAACACATTTTAGTGCGTTTAAAAATGAGGCAAAATGTTGTTGTAAAGTCCAACAACTTCAGTTGTTATTTCAGAATAAAAGTCCAGGTGAGATATAGTTGTTGAGGTGCAATAGTCCAAAAAAAAGATCCTTTATGAGACAAATGATGCAATATCAAAGTCCCATGCATCATAGTCAAGAAGAGGGAAAAAACTGTAGTGCAAGAACAAACACTATCCACATCCACTTGTAACAATCTCATAACAGTTTGCAAAGGCAACAAAACGCATCACATTAATTATCCATCAATGTCTGATGGTAGGCAGATGTTTCCGGTCTGGTTTGAATTTAAATCCAAGACAAAACATCCTGCATGTCTTCCTCCGTTTCTCATAGTAATAAGGTGTGCTCGCGAAGACCGGCAATCCTCTCCGATCGCGTGCGCCAGTAACTCACATTGATCTCCTCCCCCCCAACCCCCCCGAAACATTTCCTCCCGAAACAAACATCAGTCAGCCCCAGTCAGTGTCCGGTCCAATCACAGCCACCCAAAGGCACCGTGCGCAGCCCAAGCGAGCTGCAACATCCGCGGAGAGGAACCTCAGCAAACAACGCATCTCCGCAGATAACATTGCTTGGTACCCCCCCACCCCAACCCCAAAACCCAAAACCGCCGGCCGCAGAGACTCCACTCCAAACTGCCTGCTGCTTAAAATTGCAAATCCTGATCGGGAAATTGATCCATTTGCGTTGTTAAATCCGTTACTACGCTTTTCTCTCTCAGCTCCACGTTGCCCGTTATTATTAGTGTGGCGAAGTCCGAAAAGGAGGAAAGTTGTCGTCACTCCTCAAGTATGCAAAGAATGAGACATGTTTCGGGGGTTTGTCCGCGGGAAACAGTATAAATCCCCAATGATGAATAATCCAGATGTAAAATGTTCTGTGTCTGCGGGGATCTTTGCGTATCCGCCGCCGATCGAGACGCACATCTCACAAGTAAAAGCTGTGTATGCGTGTAATCTCCGGACGCGTCTCCGCTGTGTGTGCCCCCTGTTCAACACAGTCTGTTTGATTGTTTTTTTTCTGCACTGAGTGGAAAATTTCCACTGTACAAACTGTAGAGGGAGCCGTGACTTCAGAAGCCAGCTTCATCTACTATGTAGCCTCGAGAGTGGGAAGGCTGAATATTCAGCTCATGAAATATTTTCCTCTCCCTCTCTCACACACACTATGATGTTATATTACTTATGCTACAGAGGCTAAATCACACAAGTGGTTAGAAAACACTCTTTTTGGATCTACTAAAACATGCATTGTTCTAACAGACACAGTGTTTTTTGTTTTGCAATAAGGACACAACTGATATTAAAGGAATAATTTGACATTTTTGGATTTGCTGAAAATGAGACGAGAACACATTCTTCTCATCCAATTCTTGGCAAGAAACATGTTAAACATATTTCCTAAAACGTCAAACTATTTATTTGAATTCCCATGATTTGTGTTACGTGCTGCAGAGCCAGGCTGTTTCCCCCTTGCTTCCAGTCTTTATGCTAAGCTAAGCTAGGTCACTTCTGGTTGTAGCGTGAGAATGATATTGATCTCATCGAACTCGAGAAAACAAATAAGGGCGTATCCAAAAATGTTAAACTATTACTTTGACATCTTCTTTAAAAAAATATTCCCACAGAAGCTCACTAATTATCGGCTTTAAAGGTGCTGGTAGGTGGATTAGCTTTAAGGCCTGTACACACTGGCAGGCATTTTCTTTCTAGGAATTAATTTGTACATTTTCTCATGAGGATTTTCACACAGCATGGGAATATTATGTGGCGAAATAACGTAATTTGTTTTTGGAACAAGGTCTATTTTTATAAGCTTTTATCCGCGAATAAAGGCATCAACCAATCACCATGTGCGGAACAGACATATTCAAAGCATCATGTTATGAGTTGCCCTTATATATAGAACAACAGGGAGACTCCGTAGACCGAAGCAAGAAGGCAAACTGTATTACTCCTTTCAACAAAATGAGCTCATACTGTACTTTCCTTTCACAATAAAAGCCCTAGACATATACACTGCGTAACTGTTTACCATAGGGAACTCAAATTCACTCAGAGCATTCAGCTAAAGGGAAACTCAATAGCTTGCAGTAGCTTAGGATATACAACAATTTAGCTCAGACTGCCTGCCAGACGCTGCTCAGCTCAATAGGATCTCTAGTTGGTCGTCTGCCTGAGCGAGTCTCTTCAAATCTTTTATTGAGGTGACTGATTAGTCTTGGCATTTATAGCAGCATTTGAAGTGACACAACATGAATACATGTTACAAAAATAATACTCATTTCAGACTAGATCTCATTAACATGTTAAATTAGAAATGAATTTTTGGCCTAAAATGTCTCTTTACAGCCTTTCATCTTCAGTCTTAGTTGCACGTCTTTGTAACACATTTCCCGAGGCAACAGAAAAGGCATCCAATAACCTCAAAAGCGTCTCCCCTTAGAGGAATGTGTGACATTTGCCTGTCCTAACACGTGGCAGTGTGCATGCAGCCTCATTGATCACCTCATTCCGTGTATATTAGGTTTCTGTGCAGCATCTTCACTTAATGATGGAACGCTTTCTCTACACTCAATATCTCTACAATACTTCACATGCCTTTTCTGCAGCATGCTATCCCATGGGAGAACACTGTTGCATGATGGGTTTTTTTGTTTTGTTTTTATTCGCCTCAGTTCACAAGTGCACACTACATTCACAAAGTTGGCCTTAACAAGATGGCTGCTGGAAAAACACACAGTTGGAACAAATCAGCACTAACTTGGTTCACCTTCCAGTGGCTAATGCGGAGGCCTCTAGCTCCTCTCCTCGGCATTTGACATTCATATTCCTTTTGTGAGTGCGTTCAATTCGACCATTTGCTTGGAAATCTGACCCACTATTATACATTCTGCGTCTCTGCGGAGAAAAGCAGCGTTGCATTCCTGCGGGCTGCGAGTTTTAACCACATAGTGCTTCTGGATGCACCTCACTCACTGATGTCAAAGCTGGTATTTATTCTCTGGAAGCAGCAGCAGCAGCAACTTGGTGATCATAAAAGTATTGATTTGTCCAAGAAGACACATGTGAGCTTCGGAAAAATATATCCCTATTCATTCTCTCTATGCCACTTTTGAATGTGTTTGACGTCAGCTACTTCAGCGTTCGGTTATCGGGTTACATATTGCCAGTAATCATGGTCAGTCAGTAGTAACTAGGGGTAATGAATATTCATGCACAGATTATATATACAGTATATACAATCTATAATGTGTATATTTCATAAAAAGCTAAAGGCTCATACAGATTCATTGAAACTAGTCCTCAACCTGGCCTTGTTTTTAAGATACTGGAGCTCATGTCAGGTATAAATTAAACTGATGAAGAAACAGTGCAGCTCTCTGTTTTGAGAAAAGTCTGATTTTAAAAAACTCACTCATGGACATTTGTTTTTGCAGCGTGCACCCCTTTGCTGTACGCTCTGCCCAGACTTTCACTTCCATTAACTGCCCATCTGTTAAACCTCCATGTTTCTCAGCAGAGTACTTTTGACTAATTTGATCTTCATTTAGTGGCCCTTGCATTACGTCCTGTCGTCAACGGTTAATCACTCCTCCAAATGAGCTCCGAGCAAAAGGAATGTTGGTCGGTCGCATGACAACCGCCGTCCTTTGAAGGTTTTCTCCAAAACTAGCAGGAATAACTTCTAATCGCCGCGACGCGCCGATCCCCCCCCTCTTGCAGACTTGCGTTGGAGAGGACGAGTTCAACTGAGCATCCTAATTAGAGGAAGCCTGGGGGTGGTGAAAAGATTGAACGATGACAAACCACAGCAAACTAACACGGTAACCGCTGCTCGGCCGGTTCAGCAGGAGGTCCTCAAGGTGTTGCTCTGCGCTGGTTGCCTAGCGACATCTGAAGCCCATCTGATCAGAAAAGACAAACAGTAGATTGACCAAGACGGTGTCAAACACGAATCCTGAATGCACCGTTGATGGACAGGCGGCAACCGGTGTCTCCATGCCCGGAGTAAGCATTCCTGCTGTTTACGCTGGCAGTTTGAAGCTTTGCAAATCTCGGCTTTGCTTGTTGAAGAAAAAAAAAATGAAATCTCCAGCTCTACATATTGAAAGGGGATGTGTGTGCTGACAACCAGTGCCCTTATTAAAAAATAGCCATGCTGGGAGCAAAAGGAGGTGTGAACCAGGCCCTTGAAAGACTCCCCTCTTTCTCTCCCTGCAGAGAATTTCAATCCCCCCCCCCTGCCTCCAAGAGTCTCAGGTTGCTCAGCACGCCTGTGTCCTGCATCCGGCAGAGGGAAAATTGGCTCCGACTGTTCAGGTTTCAAAGATGGTTTCAGGGCTCTCTATGAGTCTGTCTGTCAATCACAGTAGTCTCCTCAAAAACAACCCCTACAGCTGCAGTGTTCTCGGGGGTGCTTTCAACATCGCTGTGGTCCCTCGAAGCCATTACATTCAGATCATCATCCCGAGGACAGGAAACAGTTCACCTGATGAGCCTAGACATGGAGACGCTCAACACTGTGGGGCCTTTCACAATAATAGCGCTAATGTCTAATTCACTTGGATGGAAAACATTTCTTCGAAAGATTACTGTGAAACAATCTCGTGAGCTTATTAGTTCATCAAATCAAAGTTTTCACCTTTGCCAGCAATTTTCAGCATGTGAATGCCTTGTTGACAGTCTTTGTGTTGCTGATCTCAACTGAAGATGGTCACTTTGAATGAATGTCGCCTTTATCCTCACAACACAATGACCTATTGTGCTCAATGTTGTGATTTATTCTCATAAATAGTGCTGCTCTTGTCTACACATCGTCTTGCTGTTGCAAGTGCTGTTGCATGTGTTTACTGGTTGTCAACGACTGCACCGTGTTGCCTTTCAGTGGCGTTTGCATCTGTCTGATGTCCGTAGTACCTGCTGCCTAATGTGGACTGACATCTGTTGTCGTCGCCTTTTGCTTAAGTCACCCTTTCATCGTTCACCCCGCACGTTTCAGTTTGCCCATCCCTTCTGTCATCTCCGTTTGCACGTGTCTTTGTTTGTTTGCACATCATTTCGGTCCTACATTTTTCCATAGCTTCCGTCGAATGGAGACGAGAGACAGCAGCTGAGAACATCAGACGGATGCAAATGCAGGTGGGTACTTGTGTTTCTTTGAATCTCACATTTATCAGCAAAGGGTTGTGTTTTATTTCCAGTTTATTTTAATGAATCCTCACAGAGTTGCGTGGATGACCTTGTGGTACATAGAAGTGCTACAGGTTATTTGATACAGAAAGAGAAAAAACTAAAATTAATATAGAATTGCTCGGAGTGTAGACACACGGCCTTTGCGGACAATCTTGGTGGTCAGGGTGATGTATTTTGATGATGAATCCGTTTGAAAGAAGAAAATATATGTATCTGAGGTGTGTGAAACGTTGATGATTCACTGATCCGAGTTCTGCTGCACAGTGCCCATGAAAAGTGTACGAACACAGGCAGTGTTGATACAGTACCTGTTCAAGTCCTCGGAGATGTACAATACAAGTTCTGAAATATGTCGTGAATATTTCCGGATGCTAATTTCAGCATCCCAAAAGGATCATTTGAATTTTAAAAAGGCATGCTTTTATAAGAGGTGACAGGAAAAGAGATGAGGATTGTAAAAAAAACAAATCTATTTAAAAAACAGCGTGAACAGCCAATTGAAGCTCACAAATAGTCTACGGCCACAATGTGCCTCCTCTGCTAGAATTGATTTTGTTCCGTTTCCCCATTCGCTGATACAGCTATGCAGATATTGGTTTGTGTAACGTGACACATCGACTCTGTACTGAGGCGAATAAACAGCTCTCAAAACTAATTCCAATCCCAAAGAGTGACATGTGATTTTCTCAGAGGGTGCCAAATTAAACATCCCACTGTGGCTGATACACCATTTACTGCCAGAGTTGAGGTTTAGCTCTCTTTGCAGGGTGAGATTACAACTCCAGCGAT